GATGGATGGATGGATGGATGGATGGATGGATAAATAGATGGAGGGATAAATAGATGGAGGGATGGATGGATGGTGAAAGGACACTGTCATCATAGACTATATTTAGACACATTGTTATTTAGGACTTTACAATTCTATTTTATAATAATGATATTTATACTTTTTGTTTATTTTTCGACCATTTTCTTGCGCAATTCTCGTATAACTCACTTTTTCCTTTATTTTGATGATCAACTAATGATATGCTTTGCCAATTGCTATTTTTACGCTATTTTTGAAGTCTTCAAGGGTTTTATCTTAATCCTCATGTTTTCACATTCCTCAGCGTCTTATCCCAGGCTGTGTGACGAGCTACCGTGACGGAACTGCCTTATTCACCTTTAAAACTATTTATTTGAATTAGTCGCTCGCTTTAAGAATCAAAGGAATTTTAATGATTAGTACTAAACCTCTCGTCATTCCTCTCAATAGGACCATTAATTATTATAGTATTAGTAATATTTTAAATTTTATCCGTCATGCATTGTTTTTGAGTGCCGTGACATCAGAGCTCAAACTCGCGTGCGTAGGCGTGACGAGTGTCCGGGCGTGACAAGGTGTGGGAAATCAATAAACTTAGTAACCGCGTTACTATACTCAAAAATGGCGGGCATCTGTTCTCTATAAAACACGAATAACTTCGCAAAATCTCTTATCTATTGTACCAAAAATCTTCGCAGTCCTCAAGCCTCCATCTTTAAGGTTTGCAACTCTACTCAGTCGAATTCTACAACCAAGGTTAGCTATCAGATAATTTTGAACTTTTTAATATGACTAGCAAATCTTAACTCTTCAACAATCAAGTGTCTTTGTATTCTTATTCTTCGCATCGTTCTCTAAAATTCTATTATCTTAACTTGCAAAAAGATTTCCTTCTAGTCTCATTAGTACTAATTTATCCAGTTAAAGTTAAGCAATATATGTTCTAGGACGCTACAATATGATTAGTTAAGCGTATCTTCTTTTAATACTACACGAAAACTTTTATGCGAGCTTCTTTTACTAAATAAATAGCGAACGGAGTATTTAGCAGCTACAATTAAATATAGAATAAGTTTTCTTCTTTTCTTGAAGCGAAATTTGGAAATGCAGAGCTTATCTGTTTTGTTGTATATCGGTTTTGGCTTTAAAAAGTTTTTATGAATGTGGCACCAGTAAACCCAATTTGGCACTCAAAACAAGCTAGTTTTTCTGTTTACGTTTTTTTCTTGAACCCCACTGTCTTTCATAGCGATGATTTGGTTTGTATATTTGTATAAACGCATTGAATTTCTCGGGTTTCGTGAGAGTTTTGGATAACTTGAAGGAGTGATGTCCTGAAGAGACAGGAAACAGACCCGTATATGTGATAGTCTTTTAGTAAACTAGTTTTGTTTATGAGAGATTAACAGACTGGAACGCTATACTCTGAAAAAGTCTGTACAGCTTATTGAATGTGTTGACTAGAATCTTATTTAAAGCTCGAATCAAAACTCAAAAACAAAAATTGCCATTTAACTAATGTGCAACTTAAGGCTATACGATTTTTTTTTGTTCTTTGATAAAATAAAATTGTTTCGACTTTGGCTGTCAATACGATTCATCAGTCGTCGCGATTCTTCTGGAACCTTAGGTCAGGTATGTCAAATAACCACTTCATTAATCAACTTATCTTAGAATCTCGTAGAAAAAAATACCTTAGCACTTGATTGGCTCTCTTTTGGGCTATTATTTTTATYATACGCCAGTATTATTATTCTAGTAAGGTGCTTTGGACTCAAAAAGGCGATTAACTTCACATTAACATATACTAACAAAAACACAAAAGCCCATTTGGGAATTGAGATTCTGGTTCTACCTTTTTCTATAAGTAAGTTGGATTAATTAGGATTAAAAAAATTCTTTTTATAAACGATATTWAAAAAAAAAATCTAATCTATCCTATTAACTACCCCACAATTAATTTAATGCTATTAATTCTCTATTAGCTAATTATACTACAGTCAACAAACGAGACAATTTCTTTTGATTCGCTTTTAATTATAATTTTGATAAGTTATCTAAAATAATTTATTTTGATAATCGATAATTTTTATATTTAATGGTTATAAATTTAGCTATCGGTGTCTATAAATTCATCTCTTATACTAGAAATCAATATTTTTCAATATCATAAAGGTTAAATGCCTTACTTAAAACTACAATTAAAGAAATTTTATATTCAAAAATGCTTGACCTTCTTGGTTGAATAAGTATTTCCTACGGAAACTGTTTCATTGATAACAAAGAGTCACTATCTACTATGGATACTGAAATAAATTGCAATTCTATAGGTCTTTGTTTTTTACATGACTTTGTTTCTAAATAAATTGTAGCTAAGTTGTTGTATGATACATTTGTAGCTAATTTTTTGTATCATTGTACTTTCTCCTTTACCCCTCCCCAAAAGTAATTTAGACTTTTGTTGGCTCCAGAACACTGTAGCTATTATTGTCATGTGTCACACAATTAAGATGGAATGATGGAAGATGGGATAGGCATATAGACAATCATCTTAATGGATGYTAATCCAATTCCAGGAATTTTTATTCATGCAGTTTAATGTTTATTGGGAAGCACATTTGGCGTAGCTGTGAGAGCAATCCCCTCTCATCAATGCAACCTGGGTTCAAGTCTCTCCAGGCTCAGTGTCGTATGATTTAATAATTATTGGGAAGCACATTTGGCGTAGCTGTKAGAGCGATCCCCTCTCATCACTGYGACCTGGGTTCGAGTCTCTCCAGGCTCAGTGTCGTATGTGAGTAGAGTTGCTTGTTGGTTCTCTCCTGTGCTTTGAGGGTTTTCYRAGTTCTCCGGCTTTCCTCCTGTCATAAAAATCAACTTATAAAAATTCTAATTAAAATTTCAGTGGATGAATAGCCACTTTGTATGTGGAAAGCCATTGCTAAATCCCATTTATTTATTATTTATTTAAGATAAATAAACAAATAATCAATATACATTTCTTCATGAATAAATAGAAATAGAAATTGGGTATAAAGTTGCTGTTATTTTGTAGGTGATATTTTGTACACCAACTGAGGAGAGAGGGGCAGTTCAACATGTATGGTCGCACGGAAACMGTGACTAAGCGAGAGGTGCGACACACACGCACTGTGAATGGCAAAGTTGTCCATGATGATTTTCAACAACACTCTGACAGAGAGGTTGAATATGAGTCTCCAAAACACCAAGCACTAGGAGGTCCTAGTTATCACTACACCAATGGTGCCATCGACCAACCACACCCATCCACGAGGCAACCCAAAGAAATGAATTTTGAAACAAATTTTACGTCATTGGAGCAATATCTTAATGAAAGTCCTAATGATGATTTTGGACCAACTAGTGGGCCTAAAAGAAAAATAGTTTCTTCTGAAGAAGGCTCAGAATCCAGTGATCGAGATTTTTCTGATGCACCCCCTCGTGGATCAGGTGTTAGCACTAGATCAGGATATTCTTCTGGTGAAGAAGGCCCAAGGAGAAGATTGAGTTCTGGGGCAGGAACTCTAAAAAGYTCAAGTGTTACATTACCAATAAGGTCAAATTCATTATCAAAACCTGAAACTTCCTCAGTTGGAGATCTTGGCGAAGGTAAGCTTGCCCTTGGGTAAAATTATGCGTAGACAGTGTCATAGTAGGTAATGGAATATGCACATATTCAGGGAAATGGAGGGAGGGGGGCTGCTCTTGGCTGCTCTGGGAATTGCTGCAAGAGGTAACATGGTTAAGAAAGACATCTGGAACAAATCATTTTTATGAAAAAATGCAGTTTCAAAAACAAAATTATTTTTGTCACACTACAAGCTAGTTACTGTAAAATATTTGTTGGTAATGAAGCAGGGACAAAAGGATCCAAATTTTATTATTGTTTTCTGGTTGTTTGTTGTTACTGTTACCAGAGATAATAATTGAAACTTTTTGTCCATTTTTATTTGTAAGTTGTTTACAACATCAGTTTGAGGATTGGAGAAGTAAAAGGAGACAGAGCTGATGGTAATGTTTACATTCAGTTGTTTGGAGAGAAAGGTGACACATCGAAGATACGGCTTCGTTCAGCTGGTGATGAAAACAACAGTTTTACAGAAGGAGACCTGTTCAGGTTTACTGTTAGATATAAAGATATTGGAAAGGTTAGTTATTCTGCTGTATGTCACAGCTTGAATTTATATGCAGGACTGTTGGATGGATGGA